TCCTCTCCTCTCCTCTCCTCCTCCTCTTCCCCCTCCTGCCTCCTCCCATCAGCATCATCATCATCATCATCATCATCATCATCATCCACATCATCATCATCATCATCATCATCATCATCATCATCATCATCATCATCATCATCATCCTCTTTCTTCTCCCCCTCCTCCTCCTATTCCTCAAATGCAGCCAGGCAGCCTGTTAACCCAGGAATAAAGGAAAGACGGCGGCGGCGGCGGCGAACGGTGTCGGGCCGAAGGTCGACATAAACTAGAGCTTAAACCGCAATCCGATGAAATTCAAGGCTGCGCAGCGCACCGTGCGCAAAGAATATCTGCGACATGATGCATGATGGTTCCAAGGCGGGAGCCCCGGGCTGTCCTCGCTCAACCAGTACCGACAAGCTCGGACGAGCTGCAAGTTTGGACGGGCAGGCGCCCCAGGAACCCCTCGGGCCTGTCGGGGGCACTAGCGAGTCGCCTGGTTCACTGGCTCTTTGAAACGAGTGCGAGGAGGAGCGGACAGTGGACGAGGACAAGGAGGATGACAGACGGGAGGGGGGACGGCAGCGGCGGCGCAACGGGGAGTCTCCTCCAGCTCGCGGCCCCCGACTCCCCCCAGAGCCTCCCGCGGTTGACGATCCACCACACTCCCAGCGCGAGCGGGAGGAACGCGATTCATTGCACTCCGAACGCCATCAGAAGGCACACGGCACACGGCACTCCCAGCGCCCACTGGAGGAACCCGACCCACAGCACTCCGAACGCCCACAGAAGGTACACGAACCACTGCACCACCAGCGTCCTCAAGAGGAACCCCATCCACTGCACTCACAGCACGTTCAGAAGGCAAACGATGAACTGCACACCCAGCGAGTCCAGAAGGCAAACAATCCAGTGCACTCCCAGCAAGGGCAGGAGAAACCCAATCCACAGCACTCCCATTACGAAGTACACCGCTGCACATAGGTGACAGAATCTCCATCAGCGACGGTCCGCTATAGAAATTGTGCTGGAACAAAACTGCAATGGGGCACACACACACACACACACACACACACCGAGTGTCCTGACCGTTTTCCTCGCGCCCCGAATAGAGCGCGGCAGACGACCGACCCTCTCCATGGGATCCCGACCATTAATTTCCCGCATCCTAGCAGAAGCGAACGCGACGATCGGCCCTCTCCAGGTCCCTGACCACCTTTGCCGCGCCCAAGAGGCAGCGCGGCAGACGAACGACTCCTCGCAGGGATGTGGCGACGAGGAAGGCAGCATGGATGGGCGAACGTGTCGAGGCCGATCTCGGACAGGTACTGGGTAGCTGCTTGTCTGCACGCCTCCTCGGACTGGTCGATCGCCAGCTGAAGTGCCCGTTCCACGTTGCTTCCCGGCGCCATGCCTCCTTTGTGGTCGACCCCGAGCTGGGTCAGGCAATCTTGCAACGCATTCACCATCGCCGCATCCGCCAGAGACGCTGCAATGGTCGCCGCCCATCCTTGTACGCCATGCTGATCCTGAAGCCGCGCACCAGCATCGCCATGTCGCTCGCGTCTGGAATCGCGCCGATATTCTATCGCAGGGCCTCCCACGCCATTTTGCCCCCTCTGTCCAGCACTGTCGCCAGCCTTCTGGATCCCATCGCACGCCGCCTAACAAAATTGCGCGCGCGCAGGTCCCACCTTTGGCTTCCGGAGGCCGGTCGGGCTGCGGGCCCTGGAGAAACGCCTCTCCCACGGCTGCCGCCGCCTTCGCGCGCGCCCTGCCAGCGCGCGCCCCCGCCTGAGCCACTGCCGCCTCCTCGCCCATCGCGAAGGTCGCGAAGGCGGCCGCCAATAGCATCCGCAAGTGGAACGCATTGCAGAGGACGGCCCGAACGAGAATCGGCATCAACCTCGCTACGTCCTGCACGTCCATCGCGGGAAGACGGTTGAGTGCGTCGGGCGCCAGGCCGTGCAGCTCGCCGATCTCCAGCGCCGCGTCTGGCGGCTGCTGGGGCCGAGCGCCTCCGTTGCCTGCTACCCGCTGTCCGGGGGCGCGAGGCGCCGCGCTGCCCCTTCGTCGCGCCCGCCCACGAGGGGGCCTCTCCCTCCTTTTCCTCGCCGCACCGAGCGCTACCTCTCGGCTTCGATCTGCCCCGAGCTCAGCTCGAACATCCGCGCGCCCACTGGCCAGCGCGCGACGAGGGGGCGGGCAACCAGCGCGCGCGAACAAGCGCATAGTCAGGGCGCCAAGAGCAGGACAAGCTCCACTCACTGAACATCAATAGGCTGCACTGCGACCGCCACGAATGGCTGCTACCGAGATCGACGCAAGAGGGCGCGACAAGTCCGATGACCCCAAGTGAGAGCTGAGCCGTCGGCCGCGCGGGTGACTCGCCTGGGCGTGGGCACCCTGAGAGCGCGGGGGCGGCCTGCGAGGGGGCGGGCGCCCGCGGCACGACGGCTACCCGTTTCAGGAGCACGGGATCATCATCATCATCATCATCATCATCATCATCATCATCATCATCATCATCATCATCATCATCATCATCATCATCATCATCATCATCATCATCCTCATCCTCATCTCATCATCATCATCATCATCATCATCATCAGCATCATCATCATCAGCTCAGCATCAGCATCAGCATCATCATCATCAGCAGCATCAGCATCAGCATCAGCATCATCAGCATCATCATAATCCTCATCATCATCATCATCATCATCATCATCATCATCATCATCATCATCATCATCATCATCATCATCATCATCATCATCGCTCCTCATCCACCTCGCTCACTCACTTACTCACTCATTCACTCAATTTCTCACTCACTCACTCACTCACTCACTCACTTACTTACTCGTCATCGCTTCTTCTCCTCCTCCTCCTCCTCCTCCTCCTCCTCCTCCTCCTCCTCCTCCTCCTTCTCCTGGACACAACTCCGAGGCGGACTGAGTCCGTCCACCGCAGGCTGAGCCGCCACAGGCGTCGAATGACTCAGCACCACTGTGGAGCCGAGCCCTGAAGCAAAGCATCGCATTCGAAACGACCACGCGATAGCTAATGCGCGCACCCGCGGAGCCCAGAACGAAAGGAGCCAGAACTCCGACCAAGCGCGGGCGGCTGGGGGATCCCGAAAGGCGGCACCAGAAGGAGCTCTGGCGCCACAACAAAACTAATAAAGCGAAAGAAAAGAAGAGGCGCAACCAGTATCGTGCAGTCCCCGCCGCAAGCAAGGCACGTCACCTGCGCGGCCAGTCAATACAGTCAGCTGGCTGGGCAATACTGCACGATGATGGAAATCCAACGCACAGCACGAGACCGCGCGCCAGGAGGTGCGCGCGGGGGAAACGAACAGAATGCCGCAGGCAAGGCCACATGGGCGTGCCAGATTGTGAGCAGCAGCATGAACGAAACAGAAAGCATGACCACCTCCTCCATCCTTCCCCCCTCACTCCTGGTCCAGCTCGCACCGGGGCAACCCCCCCCCCACACGCCCGTAGGCGTTTGGAGGAGCCGACCGCCTCTATGGCTCCCGGTGGGCCGCAGCAGCCCCTTGGTGAAGCCGCCGTAGCCTGTCGCTTCGGGGGGGGGGTCTGGGGCCAAAGTGGGCAGCCCTCCCTCCTGCCCAATCGACTCCTCGTCCTCCTCGAGCTCGTCCTCGTCTCATCATGATAGTAATATGCCGGCCCACTTGCGGGGCCACCAGGCTGAGAAGGTGAGGGTTGTTGCAACCTGCACCAGTTCCAAATTCCAGTCTCCAATGTGCCCGCGCGAGGGGGGAAGCAGAAAAGGACCCTGGATTCCACCCCCCAGGAAAGGTTTCAGAATTCCCTAAGGGCCAAGGGGCACTAAAAACACGCGAGATCTGCACATCCGATGCCAACAATCTTCACACATTGCAGTAGACTCGCGTTGTCGACGCCACAATCCTTTGCAAATTGCCCGACACTCGCGCTGCCGAAGCCATACTCCCTTGCAAATTGCGCCACACTCGCGCCGCCGAGGCCACAATCCCCCGCGAATTGCTGTAGATTCGAATTGCCGAGGCCGCAATCCCTTGCAAATTGCGCCTGCATTGCGCTGCCGAAACCAAAGTCCTTTGCAGATTGCATAGCACTCGCGCTGCCGAAGCCACAATCCCTCCCAAATTGCACCGTTCTCGCGCTGCCGAAGCCACAATCCCTCGCAGTGCGCGCAATATTCGCGCTGCCAAGACCACAACCTCTCGCAAATTGTTTTTCGCGCTGCCGACGCCACAATCCTTTTGCAAATTGGGCAATACTTGCGGTCTCGAGGCAACATTCCCGTGCAACTTGCGCCATACTCGCGCTGCCGAGGCCGCAACAAATTGCGCCATACTCGCGCTGCCGAATCCACACTCCCTTGCAAATTGCACCATATTCGCGCTACCGAAGCCACAATCCCTCGCGAATTGCGTCGTATCCGCGCTGCCGAGGCAACAATCCCTGTATATTCGCGCTGCCAAAGTCACAACCCCTTGCAAATTGCGCCACAGCAGCGCTGCCGAGGCCACACCCCTGAGCAATTTGTACATGTTTCGCGGCGCCGAAATTACAATCCCATCCAAAATGCGCCATACTCGCGCTGCCGAAGCCACACTCCCTCGCAGAGTGCATGATATTCGCGCTGACAAAGCCACAATTGTCGCATATTGCTCCATACTCGAGCTGCCGAAGCCACAACTCCTTGCAATGTGTACCATGTTCGCGCCGCCGAGGCTGCAATCCTTCCCAAATTGCACCGTAGTCGCGCTGCCGAAACAACAATCCCTCGTAACTTGCGCAACACTCGTGTTTCCGACGCCACGATCCCTTGTAAATTGCACCATATTCGCGCTCTCGAGGCCACACCCCCTCGCAAACTGCTCCGTATTCGCGTCTCCGAAGCCACGACCGCTTGTAGATTATATTATCCTCGCATGGAGCGCCGCCGCCGCCAGTGCCCGAGCGCTTCGACGAGCCCCACAGCGACTTCTCGATCAGAGCTTGCTGCAGCGTTCGATCTGGCGCCCGAGCACACTTCTTCGCGTCCGTCTTGGACTACGGCTTGCCCGTGGAATTCGAGATGCCGAAGAACGAGAGCAGGAAGTCGAGCACCTCATCGCGACCGGCCGAGCCCAGGATAGCACAGCCCGCGGGCGGGCTGGAAGCGCGGTAGTTGCCCAAAACTTGTCCTGGGAGAGGAGCGCGTCCTCGCAGCGAGCGCGGACGCTCAGCTCCCCGAACTTGTCCGCGGGGATCCTCTCCTTCGAGAACGCGGGCACGTGCTCGACGAATTTCTTGCAGGCATCCTCGTTGGTGGCGTTGACGGCACCCATGACCGCACCGAATTCCCTCTGCAAAGAATCCGCCCGAGGAGATCTCGCCCCCTGCATGGCGCGAATGCTGGACACCAACTTTGCAGTCCTCAGCACTGTCAGGGTGCCCTCTTGCCCGGGTTTGCCGTTGCCGAAATAAGCTATTCCCGCTGGGTCCTGAGGGCTGTACTCCTTGGTCTGCTTTATACGCTTAACCTCCCCGTCGCTGGCCAGCACCATGCCACCCTTCTCGATGATGGAATGCGACGGGAAGGTGGTGACGCGGAACTCCCACGCGTCAGGGTCTTGTTTCGACCACCTGCGCCCGCAGCTCTTGCGCACGCACCCCCAGTGGCCGCCTCCTGTGGCGGCACCCCCTGGCGCGTCCTCCACTGGCCGCCTCCTGCTGCGGGCACACGTACACCACATGGTTGTGCCCGCCGAGGGCAAAAGTCTGCCGCAGCTCCCAAGCGTTCGTCCTTCAGGGTTCTTTTCCAGGTCGACGGGGGGCACCACTGGCCCATCCCTGTGCTTCGCGAGCTCTTCTTCCATAGCGAGCTCGATGGTCTCGGTCTGCTGCGTCGGCGACTCTTTTTTCTGGTTGCCCCTGAGGTTGAGTGAGCCACTCGACATTAAAACTAGAGGTGCCTGGTCTGAGCAAGTTCTCCGCGTCGCCGTGCTGCTTGCCCCCGTGGCACCTGCAGCGCATGCTGTGGCACGGGCGCGAAGGGTCCGGGATCCTGGTGACGAGCGTCCTTGGGAACTCGCCGCGCATGGCATTGGCAACGTGCTCATGTAAGACGAGCGAACTGAAGCTCTGGAAGCACGGCGTCTCAACGTCCTCAGAAGCTTGGACGATGCAGGAGATCACGCCGCACTCGTCCTCGCAATTGTGGCACGTGGCCGGGTTGTGCGCGATGAAGTGACCGCCCGTGAACCTGGCCGTACCGTCGGCCTCCCTGACCACTGGCGGCAGCTTCGCCTTGGGCGTGATCTTCGCGGCTACGCGCCCCTCGCGGACCTCCTGCCAATCCTCGTCGCCCGGCCCCGAGCTCGGCGAGAGGGAGACCCTGCTCGCGCGACGGCTTGGCTCCCGTCCCGAAGGGTCGTACGGAGCGCTGCCATTCGCTCTCGCCCTTCCTCCGCGGCCCCCCGCCTCGGCCCCATCGGCCTTTCTCCTGCGCGCTGGTACGGCGTGCGCCACGGAGACGGTCTCCTCGTATCCGCCGCGGCGCAGCGTCGAGGGCGCAGGCTCAAGGGCCAGCTTAGCGCCCACCAGGTACTCTGGAACGGCTAAGCGCCGGAGCCCAAATGGCCACAGACGTCGGGCAAAGAAGAGGATGCACTTTCGTGTTGGCACACGGGGGCTTCTGTTGGTTCATCTCAGGCCGTGCCCATGACATGCGTGGGGAGGCTTAGGGCTGAGGAGATGGGGATGATGATGTGGGTGAAACTTCACAGTGACTACGGCCCTCGAGGCACTGGACGGGGACGCTGCGTCAGGCGCTTACCCTGGCCAGTTGCGGCTAACTGCTTATCATTATGATTGTTACTACTGCTTTCATCATTATTCATAACATTATCATTATTACTACGATTATTACTATTATTTTTCTTCTGGACGCGCCCGGTCCAATCCGATCCAATCCGATGCTCCTCCTCCTCCTCGTGCCCCTGCCCCGCTGAGGGGGAACGATAAGGGGGGGCCAGCTCAGGGCGGAAAATATTGAGCGTGAATCGGCGACACAGGCCCCAAACTTGCAAGACCGCACGTTCCTGGGTGGGGTGGGCCATCAGGTCCGTATCCGAAATGAGTGGGCGATGGGGGGCCGATGCGCTTATCCCCCCTATCGTTGCCCCCTAGCTTTCGGGTTGTAACTCAGCTCTCCAGCGGCCGATCGGGACGATTCGAGCACCCTTGGAACGCTCATGGCGAGGCGCACCCGCTGGAAGGCATCCTGGGCCAGAAAACCGCGGAAAACTAACGAAGACGCTCGAAAACCTATTGCCTCGCAGCCTTTCGTCTCCCCTGTCGCTGCTCCCCCTCGGGAGTGCCAAGGGGGGTCACCACCAGGGAGGTCACCAGTTCCTCCCGAGGGTCGAGGCTCCTTGCACGAAGCTCGAGAAGGTGTTTGGGGGTGTTTGGGGTCGCTCTGGCGAGCTCGAGGGAATGGCGTTTCCTCGAGGGAATGGTGTTCTGGGGGACCCACCTCCTCGAGGGAGTGGTGCTTCCTCGAGGAGGCGGCGACCACCCCAGGGGTGGCCCCCCTGCGCGGTCAGCGGCGGATGCGGAGGCTCGGCGGCCAGAGTCGAGCGCGCCATCTCCGACCCTCGCGGGCGGCCGCCGGGCCCTGCGGCCCCAAGCGGGGCCGCAGGGCCCCAAGCAGGGCCTGCGAGGCAGGGACTTGTCCATACCCACCGCCTGGGAACCGACGTCCTGGCGCCCCAGCGGGCGGTGGATATGGATATATCTGAAGTCCCGAGACGGTGCGGTGACAGACCGTGCGGTGACCTCGAAATCCCCCAAGACCTCACCGCACGGTTCGTCACCGCACGGTCTTGGGACCCCGGAGGCCCCCGTCGCCCGAGACATCCTCGGAGAACGACCCAAGTCCCAAAACCGTGCGGTGACCCCGAATCCCCACCGACTGACTCACCGCAGGGTGTGGCCACCACCCCGTTTGGGGGGACCCCCGAATATATGTTGGCCCCCCGGGGGCCCGGAAACAAAAAAAAATCCGTACCCACCGCCCGTGGAGGTCCGCGAAGATTTATCCCCCAGGCCTGTGGCTATGGAGAGATCCCCGCCTCGGAGGGCCGCAGGGCCCGGGGTCGCGGTCCATCTGGCTCGCACGCATGATCGAGTTCGAGCCGCACCTCTCCGGGGTGCGAGCAGCGCGTGGCGGACCAGAGCCCGCGCTGTTCTCGCCAGACTGCTGGTTACGCCATCGGGAGCGACAGGCTAGACAGCGACTGTGCGAAGCGCTGGCAGAAGCATGCGAGCGCATGATCACACAGCACCGTGAACATGTCCATGTTGTACTGGAGAAGTCTAGGTGGAATCGGGGTTGATGGCCCGCGCGCCCTCGGATTGCATTTGAAATTCGCATCGCTGTTCTTCGCGACGCGGCGTTCGTGACCTAGGAAGCGGGGCGGAGGTTCAGGGGGCGTGCCATTCGCGCGTCGTTGGAGAGGCTTCGCCCATGGATCGCGTCCGAGCCAGTGACCGACATACTACGCAAGAAAATCAAGAAG